AGAAACGAGTTTCTTGAAGAAGAAACCCTTTTTTTGCTCAAGAAACTAGTTTCTTGAGAAATAAACGGGTTTCTTGAACAAAAAATGAGTTTCTTGAACAAGAAACCCTTTTTTTGCTCAAGAAACTAGTTTCTTTACAAATAAACGGGTTTCTTGAACAAAAAATGAGTTTCTTGAACAAGAAACAAATTTCTTGAACAAGAAACCCGTTTTTTGCTCAACATACCTGTTTCTTTACACATAAACGGGTTTCTTGAACAAAAAACAATTTCTTGAACAAAAAATGAGTTTCTTGACCAATAAACTATTTCTTGAACAAAAAACAATTTTGTTGAACAAAACCACAGTTTGTTGTTCAAGAAACTGGTTTCTCGAACAAAAACGAGTTTCTTGAACAAGAAAACGATTTCTTGAGAAATAAACGGGTTTCTTTATCAAAATACGTGTTTCTTGTTTGAGCCAAAGTGGTCGGTTTTTCGTGTTACAAGTTTAATGTTTGATGTGTTTGTTTTTTCACTGATCTTTACTGCCACATGTCAAACATCCTTCTTCCTCATAACCGAGGCAAACCAACAACAATTTTTTTTTTTTTTGTTAATTGAACTTATATCTTCATGAAGTTCATTATGACAATATATTAAACAACTGATAGGGAATACATCAAAAGTCCAAAACAGAAGTTCAACTTCAATCGTGTGCGTTTTATAGTTTACCAATGTATACAATACATCAAAACACTTTCTACAAAAGAAACGAAGCCCCACAACAACATTGGTACCGGCTCCAACTATCTGCTTGTTATTGAATTTGGCCACCGGATTCTTATAGTTCAATATGCACCAAATATCATTCCAACCAGATTGCACTCCTTTCAAAAGATACCATCTCACAGCTGCTATCTACATTGCCTATTCACATCCTCAAACCCAGAAAATATGTTTCAAGTGTTTATGAGATTCCCCCTCTCTTTTAGCCATACATTCCACAACAATATTATCAAGAGAAACAAAATGGGCACTGACATTGATAAACCACGGTACAAACACTTTCAAAATTGATGAAATATACATTTATTACTCGTTGCAAATAGTAACATAACATATTTTCAGAGCAATTGAATTGTACAAATGCTCAGCAATACAAGCGCCAATCTTTTTATCGAATATTTAAGCAAACTACAGCAAAACAATTGCAATGTTTCAAATAAGCATTCGTATTATATGTATGGTTGCATGCGTCATTGATCTTCAACGGGCAAATACTGGCACTCGTCATGACTTCAACAAAGATCTCAAATCATTGCACAACACCAACACAACAAGATATAAAAACAGGGTCATCATTCTCATTCATACATTTCTTCGAGCATGTACAGTGCCTATTAAATAAAAGAACAAATACAGCAATGTAATCAATTAAATCAACCGCACACTCACATAAAATATTTCATTGCTAGCCAACATAATTTGCATAGCCAGATGAAGGAATAGTAGCACATCAAATTTCGAACACATTATTAATTAGTAATATTGCTAATGAACATATCGGATAAATACGGGCAATACAAAATGCGATTGACATTCAAAATATTTACCTCAATTTATCGATTTTTATCATCCTTAAATAAATATCACCGATCGTTTTGGAAAGGGATATTCAATATATCATCAAATCGTTATTAATATGATTTCAGAATATGATTTCAGAATTGATTGACAATTTGATTTCAGAATTCAGAATATGAAGCATAAGCAAACCAAATAACACTTACCCGGACTTTATTTGAAGATCGACTCATCTAATTCATCATAAATTCTGTTTTCACGATGTTGATTAATGATTGAATACAGAATCATTCAAAGCAAGCTTTTCACTTCGACGGGGAAGAAATATCTTTTTTTTTTTTTATGCGTCACGCCTAATTGTGTTGAAGATGAAGATGATTGATTGTGTTGAAGATAGAATGCAATTTAAATTTCAATTCGTTGCCTAATTGGAATATGTACATGTCATTAGGGTCTAATAATAATATCATAATAGTTAATCACCCTAGTTTATAATTTTTTTTAAGTAAGGGTACTTTAGTATTTATCCAAGCTTGTTTTTTAATTATTTTATTAATTAATTAAATTTTGGGACACATGGCATGATTTTAACGGAGAACCTAATGTTAGGTAGGTACGAGGCTGGTACGAGTCAAATCTGATATTAGAATCTCCCAAATAAATAATAGAATAACAAGGAAAAGAAATAAAGAAATGAATGTACATGCAATGCTAAAAAGATAAATAAAACTTACTAGTGAATTGTTAATTTTATTTTTTTCCATTGGAACTCAGACCAATTAAGTCATGAATACAATAGTATTCACTTGGATGGCAAATCCGTATTTTTCTTCTTATAAGCATGATTTCATCCAAAATTTGAGTGTGGGCCACACTCATCCCAATTTGCGTCCGCCCCTGTATATCGCGAGTTCCTAAAGGTGTTATATGTCTACAAAAGTAAAATAATTTCTTTTAAGAAAATAATAGCAGACACCCGTGTATTACACGGGTGCTTGTTAAAAAGTTATTCTGAAATTTTAAAATTAATGAGAAAAATTATTTAAATTTTATTACTTTTTTACGAAAAATATATGTTATTATATAGTTTAGAGTGACACTTGTTACTTGTGCGACTTACGTGTGTTATATTATAGTAATTTTTATTACATATATCATATAACTACTTGAAATATAAATATATTAATTGATAAATAATTTATTTTTCTAATTAGTATTTAAAACAATTTTATTAATGTTATAAAGATATATTTTTTTATACATACAATACGGATGTTAAATCGAAGTACATCAAGAGATGATTAATTTGATATATTATATATGTAAAACTAATAAAAAATACAAAAGTTATTAACTTTTAAATACGTTTACAATTCAATGGTTATAATAAGAAATTATATTATATTAAAATACAATTAATACATATAACATGACCATAAATAATCAACATATTTATGGATAATCTGGACCTCATTTTTTTGGTTTGGAATTAATTAAATCTACCCAAGCATAATAACGAAGCATGTAACTTTGCCACATAGGATCCCCAAGCATGCGAACCTATCATTTAGGCTCAACACGTTCTGAATTAATATATAAGGGGGATTTCTCCAATATGCAATTATATTGTGAATTATGTGGATGTGATGTAGAAAAATAAAAATACGAATGTAATACTTTTTTTTTTAATCGAAAGGTAGACCATCTTACTCACAAATTAAAAATTGCCTTTGTCTATTGGAGTGATAATAAAAAGACGAATTTCTTTTACACCATCGTATATACATGAACTTTCTTTTTGTACAGTGTCCCATCAAAATATTTCCTTTTCACCTCCACAACTCACAAAATTATATGGTGTTGGAAAAATTTGATCTAAAGTGGAGAAATATTTCTAGTAATTTAGGAAGAAACAAATAAAATAACAAACAATTAGCCAAAGATAAAAGTAAGGAGTTGAGTTTAGAATAGCTTGGGTCAAAGCACGTCGTAGCGCTCTCTTTAGAGAAGAAAGGTCTCCAGTGCACCAGTAAATTGATAGCATGTTCTTCTCCCAAGATTCGACAACCCGATAATACTCTCGTGTACAGCGAAGAGAACCCCGAACCACAAAATACTCGTGCTCAAAATATGTATATATATTTACTAAATTTGATAGAAATATTTTATGAGAGGAGAAGAATTGGAAATGATAAAGCATAAGAACATATTTCTGATGTTCATGAAAATGATCTCCATTTATAAGTGAAAAAAACCATATTACCGTTGGAGAAAACCATATTGATGAAAAAAAAAATTTAAGAGTACCATCGGGTTGTCGAATCTTGAAAGAAGAACGTGCTATTAATTTACCGGTGCAGTGGGGACGTTTCTTCTTTAAAGAGAGCGCTACGGCGTGCTTAGACCCAGACTCTTCTAAACTCAACTCCTTACTTTTATCTTTGGCTAATTGTTTGTTATTGAATTTGTTTCTTCCTAAATTACTAGAAATATTTCTCCACTTTAGACTTAATTTTTCCAACAATTTTAGAGAAGAAATCTTTTATTTCTATTAATTTAGGATTTATTTTATTTTGTGCTCAATATGGATTTTCTTAAGTCTGTTGTCTAGAAAACACGAAAAATTTGATGGAAATTTTTTTTTTATATTGACAACAACAAATAAAATTTTGGTTGACTAAACTAGGCCTTTTTGTAGTAATACAAACTGGTCTTAATAATAAGGGTGGAAGTTCTAGTAGTACGGGTCTTGGTGATAAGGATATTCTTTGCCATGGTAGAAATTTAAGTGCTTTGTTCGATAATATCTATCGCATTTTTTCACATAAAAAATACTTTAGAATTATGGCTTGCTTTTGATCATCGTTATGGTACTGCCGAAAAGGGTTTCAAACGTGTTACTATTGATGATGATTGATTAGATTTTCAAATGGTAGATAATAGAAATTTTGTCGATCAATTGGTTGAGTTTGAGAATCTTATCTTTGGTATGAAAGCAAAAGGGATCGAACAAAGTGAGGCGGTATATGTTTCATCTTTGATTATAAAATTACCGCCTTTTTGGTCCGATTTTGCTAGAGGTCTTAAGCATAAACCTGAAAATTTTTCTCTTGAAGAATTATTTATTGCTTTAAGAATTGAAGATAGACACCGTTCTTCTCAAAAAATTGAGAAACCGTCTTTCCAAGCCAACGCTTTAGTTGTTGAAAATTCTCACCAACCAAAGCCTCAAAATTTTAGGAAACATAGCCACAAAAAGAATTTCAGTGGAAATAATAAATTCAATAACTATGTGACAAAGGATAAAAATGGGAGTTCGGTCCAATGTTGGGTTTGTGGGAAGACGAATCATGTTGGTAAAAATTGCTTTCATCGTCACAGTCAGAAAAATAATCTCAAAACCCCATACATCAAAACCTCAAGCCAATATGTTGAATGTGGGGGCTACCTCCGATCCCCATGCTAACAGGTACTTTGTTAGGCCAGAGTTAAATAATATTTTTACCTCAAATGATTGGTGGATTGACTCTGGGGCTAATGTTCATGTGTGCGCTGATAAAAAAATATTTTTTATCATATCAGGTATCAGACACAAGAACTGTAAGCATGGGGAATGGGAGTGTGGCTCGCGTCTTAGGAGAAGGCCAAATTAATTGAACATTGTCGTCTGGGAAAGTCTTGTCTTTAAATGGTGCTTGTCATATTCCGGAAATTAGAAAAAATCTTATTAGTGCTTCTCTTTTATTGAGAAATGCTATAAAGTTGTTTTTGAGTCCAATAAAGTTGTGATTTATCTACATGGTCTTTTTATTGGTAAAAGGTTTATGTTGGATGGTTTATTTTTTTAAGTGCATTGCCTTATTCCAATAATAATATTTCTAGTTCTTTTATGACTATTGCTAATGTTGAAAGTTGTGAAGCTTGGCATGGTAGAGTTGGTCATGTGAATTATAATACAATAAAAAGAATGATGAATTTAGATCTTATTCCTAAGTTTTCTATTATCTCAAAAGAAAAATGTGAATTATGTGTGCAAGCTAAACAACCTAGAAAACCTCATAGGCATGTAGAAAAAGATACTCAATTGCTTGGATTAATTCATAGTGATATATGTGATAGTAACAATGTTTTGACTCGTGGTGGTAATCAATATTTCATAACTTTCATTGATGATTTTTCAAAATATTGTTATGTTTATTTGGTTAATTCTAAGAGTAAATTATTTGATAAATTCAAAGAGTATAAGGCTGGAGTTGAAAATCAACTTGAGAAGAAAATATAAATTCTCCGGTCCGATCGAGGTGCTGAATATATTTTAAATGAAATGGATAATTTTGTAAATTAAATGGAATTGTGCATGAAGTTACACCGGCTTTTCCCCCTCAATCTAATGGTTTTGTTGAAAGGAAAAATAGGACTTTGCTTGACATGTTAAATTCTATGTTACTTGATTCTGGTTTGCCAAAAAATTGTTGGGGTGAAGCTTTACATGCTGCTTGTTTTATTCTCAATAGAATTCCTTATAAAAATTCAGATAAAATTCCATATGAGTTGTGGAAAAATTAAAAACCATCTCTTAAATTTCTTAAAGTGTGGGGGTGCCTAGCTAAAGTTAAAAATAGGCCTCAAAACTATTGGTTGTGTATTTGTTGGTTATTCTTCAAATAGTACTACTTATAGATTTTTGGTGTTTAATTTTGAAATTCCTGAAATTTCTAATAATACTATTATTGAGTCACGAGATGCTCGTTTCTTTGAAAATATTTTCTTGTGAAAGACAAAGTATCAATACCAGTAGGAGCTAAATCTAGTCCTAGTATTTCCATTAGTTCTTCTTCTAATTTAAGAAAGCAATTTTTGACATCCATTTGAACAATAAACTAGTATTGATTTTTTTTTTTAGACTTAGTCACCTGTGTTTAAAATTAATACCATTAGAATGTTGATTGCTATTGCTTCTGTTTATAAATTAGAAATACATCAAATGAATGTCAAAATTGCTTTCTTAAATGAAGATTTATATGAAGAAATTTATATGAATCAACCAGAAGGTTTTGTTGTGTCTGGTGATGAAAAGAAAGTGTGTAAGCTTGTTAAATCTCTTTATAGATTAAAACAAGCTCCAATGCAATGGCATGAAAAATTTGATAGTGTTATCATTTCTAATGGTTTTTATATTAATAATGGTGATAAGTGTGTTTATATAAAAATTATCAATGATACTTGTGTGATTTTGTACTTGTTGATGATATCTTAATTTTTGGTATTAATATTTATATTATAAATGATACTAAATCATTCTTGTCCTCTAATTTTGACATGAAAGATCTTGGTTCTGTTGATGTTATTCTAGGAATTAGATTATTTAGAGATGATAATTCTATTTCTTTATCTCAATCTCATTATATGGAAAAATGATAAAAAAATATAACTATTTTGATGTAAGTCCGGTATCTACTCCTTATGATCCAACTATTAAGTTGAGAAAAAATAATGGTGCTAGTATTTCTCAACATAATTATTCTCAAAATTATTGGATCTTTATTGCATTTGATGAACCATACTAGACCTAATATTGCATATGTTGTTTGTAGATTAGCACGTTATACTCATAGTCCTAATTCGTCTAATTGGGATGCAATTGAAAGGTTATTTAAGTATTTAAAAGGGACTATGAATTACGTTATTATATTCACTAGTTTTCCTAATGTTGTAGAAGGATATAGTGATGTAAACTGGATCACTGATTCGAGAAAACGAAGTCCACCAGTGGTTATGTGTTTACTTTAGCAGGTGGAGAAATATCATGGAAGTCTGCTAAACAAACTATAATTTCTCGATCGCCAATGGAGCAGAATTAATTGCTCTAGACGTCGCTTGCACGGAGGCTGAATGGATTAAGAGTTTTCTAAACGATATTCCTTTATTTCCTAAGAATATTCCTCCTATTTTTTTAGCTATACCATATTTTTGGAAGTAACTTTTCACTCTTTAAATATAATATTTGTGTTTTAAATAGTGTACGAAGTATGTGAAAAGGTGAAAACATATAATTTTAAATGGGGATTTGAAAGAGAATTGCAAGAATTATTTGTATATTTTCAATTGTTGATGAATCTCGTGGTTTCAAATAACGTCGAATACAAATTTAAATATCAAACTTCAGCATATGTCTATTGTGGAATATTTTTATAACTAGTACAACGCCCGTGTATTACACGGGTGTGTGCTAATTTTTTTTCTTAAAATATAAAATTAATGAGAAAAATAGTTGAAAATCTAAATACCTTTTATAAAAATATATATATTATTATATAGTTAGTATGACACTTTTTATTTGTGTGACTTACATGTGTTATACTGTAATAATTTTTTTCAACTTACAACAAATAACTACATTAAATATAAATATATCAATTGAGAAATAATTTTATTTTTCTAATGAATTTTAATAAATATTATTATTTTTTATTATTATAAAGATAAATATAATTTATCTATTTCATGTATACAATATGAATGTCAACTCGAAGATCATCAAAAGATGATTAATTTGATATATTATATATGTAAAACCGATAAGAAATACAAAAGTTATCTAACTTTTAAAGTACATTTACAATTCAATAGCTAATTGGAGGAAACAAATCAAAAGTCAGGGATACATTAGTCACTTAGTGACTCACTATGTAAAATACAAAGAATTAAAGGATTATATTAGTACAATTGATATTAAAATACCTAAGTTAGCTAAATAATATTTATGGAATGTCCAAACCTAAATTATTATTTATTAATATATCAATATTATTTGTCCAAACCTAATTACGAAGCATGAGTCTTTGCCAAGTAGGATTACGAAGCACCAGAAGCAGCCACGTAGGCTCATCGCATTCTGGAATTATATATAAAGAGGATTTATGTTATCAAATTTAGACTGCAATTTTATGCCTTATATGCATCTAATATGTGATATTATTAAATATTGTATACTCCTTTTAGCTAGAGGTGTTATTGGAGTAGAATTTAATACCTCATGATCAAGCTCGTTTTTGTTTAACAAATGTGGCTTGGTTTGACTCATTAAATAAACGGAAAAAATGTGAGTCTGGGCTCGATTTATTTAATGAAAAGAAAATGATTTTGTTACTTAAGTTTTCACGGGTCAGTTCGAGATATATTCACAAATAATTTGTTTCAAATGACAATTCTAGTACCCTCCAAAAAAAGTTTTGGATCCACCCCTGTGTATATGGAAGCAATTAATGCATATACTTAACAAGTTTTCAAAAAAGATATGCATTAAATGCTTTCGAAATTTTGACTATGATTTTTAGTAAATGATTATTCTTATTATGTATATATATTTGTTTTATTAGTTTTTAAATAGTAACTATTTCTCTCCAAAAAAAAAATCAATTTACTATTTCGAGAGATTAATTTAACAATTTATGGTATATAACAAATAATCACTTATGGCTCATTATTTAAGGAAGTATGGCCAATTTATGGAAATTGCGGTTCATTATTTGAGGAAATAATTAAGCCATATTTCAAGATACCTTAAATACTCAAATCATGTGAATTAATTAATATATGTTATAAAGTGGACGAATTTATTTTTGGTAGTGATTGTTGTTTTTCTGGTAAATAAAATTAATCAATATATAATATAAAGTGAACAAATTTATATAGGTTATTTGATGACTTTTTTTTTGTTAGGAAATTTGTTGAAAATTCAATACACGGTGTACTTTTTTCTGTAGAGCGCAGGCCCATATATTGGTTTATATACGTGTGCTTCAATTTTCATTTAATTTTTTCGTATAAAATTAACATAATAAAATTACTGTAACTCCGACAAAATAATATGAACGGATATTTTAGTATAATGTGTGTGTATCGATGTTTTTTTTATAGAACAAGCCCTGGCCAATTTTCTTTTGCATAATTAGTGGGTCTCGATTTAATTCATGTTTTGATACGATATTTCAAATAATTTTTTGTGTGAAATGCATTGTTCAATTTTTTATTATGATAAAGAGTGTTGATATAAAAAATCTTATGATTGATTGTTTTTACTCAACTATTTATTTTTTTTTATTTGGATAATTTGTACAAATATAAATTTATTTTAATTAATGAAAAAATATAAGTTTTATATTTATATTTATTATTCAAATAGATTTTTAAATATATAACAAAATTTTCCAAAATAATTATTTTATGTAATCACGTTATTGTCAAATCCAATTTCTGAATAAAAAATTTGAAATGGCACATGGTTTGAAATGAATATAATGTGATTTATTATCAGTTATGTGCGACGCACGGGTTATGTACTAATATTAAATATATATATTTTATGCAATTTTGTACAATTTAAATTTTATATAACATTTTCAAATCTTATTACCTTGTTGGGGTCCGACATCTGGGTATTACCCTGTTGGGGTCTATGTGTTGTGTTGATTGTGTTTGTGTGTTTATTACCTCTTTGGGGTCGTGGTCGTGTAGTTGGTCTGTTTAGTTCGAGTTTTATTCTAGCTTTACTAGCGGGATTCTAGGCGGGCTTCTGACCTGTCCTCCTATTTTATTCTCCAGTTTGGAGCTTTTTATTTTCTTATTCGCACATTTGTGCGCTTTTGATTTATAATAGTACATCTATCGTTTCGGGAAAAAAAAAATAACATTTTCAATAAATTAAGATATTGATTCTATATTTTTAATTTGTAAATATTATGAGAATTTTTAAATTATAAATATTAATGAATATCTTTTATCTGTGCATCGCACGACAAAATTCGTACTAATATAGATATAGATTGTTATTTTTGTTTGATGAAAAAAAAAAAAA